TCTCCATGTTCATAGAGTTTGCGGAGGTAAGCTGTTTTGGAACTGGGTGCCACTCCTGCTTCCAAGCTTGTTTTAATCAGGAAGCTCCACCAAACACTGTCCACCATGGGTAACCATTATCACTTTTGGCACATCCGTGTCACAGTGTTCAGCATCACAGCAACCATGAGTTACCTCTATACAGCAAGCACCTAGCATCAAGTCATCCAGCAAAGAAAGTGTCCCTCAGTTCTACATGCCACACCCTAGATGCTCAGATGGTTCTTTGCTACTTCCGAGCACCTGTAGGACTTGTACTGAACCAGTCACTGTCTCCAGTGGTCACTGGTTGTATTGCTTTAAAACAGCTCTGCACCATCGAGCCAGAACTGACCCATAGTTGACCCTTCAATGGGTTTTCTGAGGTGCAGAAGGAGATTGCCCATCTTCCTCTTACAGAGTAGCTAGTGGATTTGAACTGCTTGCCTTTGGAATTGTAGTCTAGTGCTGGAAAAACTGGACTGCTACCTGCAGACAGCTGAAACAGGATCTACATCTCACACCATACGTAAAAATCAACTCAAGGTGGATCAAAGGCATAGGAGCAAAGCCCCAAACCATAAAGATCATAAAAGACCAATTGGGACGAAGTTTAGAAAGCCTAGCCTATGGTATAAAAAGGCTGACAAATATAGCCAGAAATACACAACCAGGAGAGGATAAAATTGGTGAAAGACACTTTCTAAAAATGAAATCCCTGTGTGCATAAAAAATTTTCCAACAGCATGAAAATAAAACCTGCAGACTTGGAAAAAGCCATTTGGCAATACCATCTCAGACAAGGATCTCAAAACAGAAATTTGCAGAATACCATGGGGTTTCATAAACAAAACAAAATAAGAAGAAAAGACTGAGAACCCAGTTACAAAATGGGCAAAATACATGAAAGTCTTCTTTACAGAGCAAGAAATTTGGATGGCCAATAGGCACATGAAGAAATGCTTTAAATAACTGGCAAGTAGAAAGATGCAAAACAAAACCACAATGAGATAGCTTCTCACTCCAGGAGCAGTGGCAAAGTTTAACAGGACAGCAAGCAGTCAGTGTTGGAGAGGATGTGGAGAGATAGAAACTCTCATACACCATTGATGGGATTGTAAAATGGTACCACTCCGGAAGACAGTATGGTGTTTCCACAAAAAGCTGAACATAGAAATTCCGTATAACCCAGCTATTCTACTGCTAGAAATATACCTGAGAAATTTAGAACTGTGACACAAATGGATATTTGTACACCAATGTTCAGAACAGTGTTATTCACAATCGCAAAACATGGAAACAGCCCAAAAGTCCAACAGCAGTTGACTGGATTGAGAAATTGTGGTACATTCACTCAATGGAATACTATACAGCACTCGGGAGCAATGATTTTGAAAATTACTATATAACTAGGAAGAGATGGGAGAACATTATGCCAAATGAAGTAACTCAGTGGCATAAGGACAAATAGTGTGTAAAACAATTATTGTAAAAGTAGAAGTATAACTAATAAAACATGTATGGAAATGCAAGAGGGGAAGAAGTGGGATCAGAGAGTTAAGGATGGTTGGGGAGAAATCATAGAGCCACACAACTTGAGTGGAGTGTGTGTGGGGGTGTCAAGGAAATGGGAAATATCTGGCGGGGACCTGAAAACATGGGGTAATGGTGGATCAATTTTCAAAAACAATATATGGAGATGATTGTATGAAACACAATGTGAATAAAGGAAAGTGTGAAACACAATGTATACAAATTTTGCATGCAAATTAATATAAAATAAAAATAAAAAAAAAAGAAATCATTGATGGAGTCTGGATGAGTGACTATAGTAGCAGAATGAACATACCTATTCGACTAAAGAATAATGGTAAAGAGCAAGAACTATGGCATCAGTGTGATGTGGGTCCACTTCTCAATTCTGCTAATTTCTGTCCAAATGGCTTTGGAGAAGGTCCCTTTTATGAGCCCCAATTTCCTTAACTAGCAAAACAGGCGATAGCAATAGCAATAGCAGCTTCATATGCTTGTTGCAAAGATTCTATAAAAGAATACATATAAGGCTTTTAGAAGTACCCCCATCCCTTAAAACATGAAAACGTCTGTTACCTACATTTGGGTTAGTAAGAAAGGGGAGCAAATGGGGAGCAACCACAGATGAAGAATCAGTTCTTGTGGAATCTCACACTAGAGAAAGATGTGCCATCACTACAGTCACATCGCTGTAAGAGAGAAAGAGAAAATAGAGATTCTTGAAACAGGACTTCTGTTTGATGTCTGAATCTGTAATAGAATTCTTTCTTCTGTTGCCCAAACTTTCAGTAAAGTCAACTTAATACACAATAGCCTTGTAGGAGAGGCTTGGGGTAGGAGATGAGGCTGTGTCTGGGTTGGTGTGGAGCAGGCGGAAGAGAGAACAAACATTTACAGTGAGATCTGCTGAGTTCAAGAAGCCAGCAGGACCAGGACTTTGGAGCCAGAGAGAAAACACTGAGAATATCAGAAAACTCAAGAAAAGGATGAGACTTCCTATAGAGCATATGCCAATCTGGTTGTAGTTTTTTTAAAAAGGAATAATTTTAGATTTACAGAAAAGTTGCAAAGATAGTAATACCCTTCACAAAGTTGACCTGAATGTTAGCATCTTTTACATTTATCAAAAAGAAGAAATTCGCATGGGTAGATTACAGAGTTTTACATTTTCTTTAAATGTTGCCAGTTCCATTCCCTGCCCCCAGCCCCCATTTACACTGCATTTTGAGCCAACTCTATGGGACTCTGGCACAGAGGTTCCTTTTCTGAGACCTGCAGATAGTTCGGTTCCTCATGCCTCACACAGGCAGCTGGACTAGGCCAAGTGAGAAGGTGTATATACCCTGGTGGATGCGCACTTACAGCTTCTCCTGGTCCACCCTGCAGCCCCACCCCACCCCACCCCTCACACCCCGCTCTCCTGCTCTGTCCGCATGCTGTCTGGAACCCAGACACCAGGTACACTAAAGTGGGGGCTGGTCCTCTGCTGGCTTAAATACCCAGTGGTCCAGTTAACCCTGGGACTCTGGCACTTCCACTGGTTCTTTCCTCTGGAGCTGAGATGGGGGTCAGGGGTGCAGGATTTAGTAAGAAGTGAATGATAAGATGCCTAGCAGGGGCTCCTGCCTTAGCAAGAGGATTTGGGCCAGCAGGCAGCTAGGGGCTCTGAAAAAGTACCTGGAATCAGAAGAACCACTGAGTAGAGCCAGCTCAGAAACTGCTCCCTGTAGGGCTCTTTCTTCCTTTTTCTCCCTCTTCCTTTTTCCTTCCTTTCTCATTCTTCCCTTCTGTCCTCTCATCTTTCTTCTTCCTTTTATAATGAAAACTTTCAGAGTCTCTCTCTCTCATACATACATACACACACACACACACACACACACACGTTACACTGATTTTGGTGTATTTGGCATATTAAGTGCAAAGGGGGGAAAACAGCTTTTGGTAGGTAGGTAGGACAATTTTCTAACAAAATCTGACATCAAGTGCTTGTTCCTTCTTAACTTGGCATAATTGGGATCTTATCTAGATTTTTCATTTACGGAACACTCTGTCCCCAGAGGCTGGGCCCAATAAAGCTGTTTTCCCAAAGCCGTGGCACAGTCCAGCAGAGAGTCTTAGAAAAGGGCTTTAGTAATTTTCTAGCAGTGAAGGAGCATCTCCTCCTGTTGAGGTCAGAGAGAACAAAGAGAACTTGACAAAAGGATGGAAGGAGGAGGAGGAGGGAACAGAATTACAAGGGTTGGTAACCACCACCACCACCAGCTTTGGGCGAACTTCCCACCCATTCCACAGCTTTGTGCCTGATCCCTGAGACATCACGACTTGAGGAAAGCACAGCTATTATCATGACCTTAAGACCCTGAAAAAACATGGGGATCATTCACCATAAAAGCAGGAGTTGCCCTTAACCACCCAACAGAAAAGCAACCACAAACCAAGCCAACACTAAATGGAAAAGTAAACCAGTTAAGATAAGACAGAAGACCACAGAACTATCAGTGTTCAGCCTCTGGACCCTGATTCTTTTTCACAAGAGGGGATCCACTGTGTAATTCTTTGACAGTGTACTGTGTTTACTTGTGTGTCTTTCTCTCGTTCCTGAATAAACCTGATGCCCACCTGGTGGCTCAGTGGTTGGAGCTGCCCTGCCGATGCAAAGGCTCATGATTTGAATCTACCACCTGCTCTGTGTGAGAATGATGGGCCATCTCCTCCCATGCGATTAAACTGCTTATGAAAACCCGTTGGAGGGTCAGCTATGAGTAGACAGTGCCTAACAATAACAATGAGAAGCATTTGTGTGTCTGTCTGTGGCCACCTATCCCAGAGAGAACTTGCTAGTCCTGAGGACTTTGATCCTGTGGCAGCAGAGACTAACACACTTGCTGTCGGTGCTGCAGAAGCTCCACGTCTTCACTGGGAGCCAGGGAATGTCACCACCCATTTAAAAGCAAGAGGAATCTATTCCTTAGAGACTGATGTCCTTGGCAGAGTTATACCGTGTGAAGTTGTTATAGCGTGGCAAAGCCAGGATACAAACCCAGGAAGCCTTGGGAACTAGGTCTCTGTCATAACTTAACCTGCCCTTTCGTATATCTGAGCATCTGCAGGAAAGTGTAATACCAAGAGGCTGAGAACCTTCTGTAACTGACATTCAAACAGAATCGAATTCATTAGATGATCTGAAACCACATAGAATTGCATTCCACTGGAATGGCCCAGGAGCCTGGGGCACACCACGCTGACTGCCTGTGCTGAGTGGAGCTTTGGCATTCACCTACTTCCTGTCCGAGAGTATCCCTCCTCCCTTGATGTGATCCCTAAGAAGCCCCTAAGTAGTTGGGTGATTTGAATGCTGCTCTCTCAGCGGTGGTGCGAGCTTTCTGAATGCCCTAGAGGACTGTGAGTCTGCAAGCCAATGGCTTCCAGGGCCAGGGCACACCCCTTACCAGATTTCTTGGCACTGTCCTTTCTGTAGTTGCCCGGAACAACGCTGAGGCGTTTTTCTTTCTGCTTCACGCCAAAGAGCTTGTGGTACGTGAGGGTGTCACTTTCTTTCCTGTGGCCTTGTGAAGTCTTGGAGGGAAGCACAAAAGAAGTTAAGCCTTGGGAGAGCGCATCTGGCTTGGTTTTCTCTGCCCTAGCCAACCAGTTGTTATTGGAGGAACTATAACTGATAACTCCCCCATTTCAGAGGCTGATACATTTTTAAGTAGACCACCACACCAAGGATCCTTAAAGTGAACGGAACCCTTCATTCTTTTGGTGCTAACCATTGCACTACCCATGGTCTCCTGTACTCTCCCTACATTTCCTGCCATTCTGACACATAGCAACTATCCAGTGGGTTTTGGGGGCTGCAGATCTTTATGAGAGGAGTCTGCCTCACTTCTTCCTACAAAGCAGCTGGTGAATTTGAACCACAGACCTTTTGGTTAGCAGTCCAGGATACTGCACACTGTGCCAGAAGGCTAGATGGCAATTTTAAAGGGATGCTGAAGGGCCTGGCAAAGGGATAAAGGAGGAGCAGAGGTGAGCAGGAACTCCACTTGGGTGCTTGCCTAATAAGCCCTTACTTTGATTTCCCAGATAGCTGAGAGGGAACCCCACTGAGGAGTCATGGGAACACGCAGCCCTGTCAGCTGTATGAATGACTGCAGAGGAGCTCATTGGCTTTCTCATCTCACCTATGGTATTCCTGAAGAGCTTGGTGGGAGACAGGTAAGCAGTTAAGACCTAGCATCTGCAAAGACAGAAATTCCCCCAGGGATGCTATTCTTTTCTAGGGTGAGGAAGTTTGTTGGGAGCTGAGGGAATGTGATTCATTTGAATGTTAATGTGGGGTAGGGGTGGATTTTAGAGCCTTAAATAAAAAAGCAAGTTCACAATTTACAGTGAACCCTACAGCAAGAGCGCATCACATTAACAGGAGAAGAAATGTGGGATTGGGCTGTCCTTCCCCCATCATTTTTCTATAAATCGGACACTGCTCAAAGTAGTCTACTAATTTAGGGAAGGTAGCAAGTAACTTAGTCTATGGTATTTCTAAACCATTAATAAGAAAAGTGTCCTTTAAGTCCTGGAATGAGGTGGTTGTTATGATAAATAGCAATTAAGAGGAGAGACAATTATCTAGATCAAACAAATGCCTCTCTCAACTTTATTACTATTGTCTGAGATCAGTTCTTATTAACAATTATGAAGAGAATTATTTCCTCATATAGGTAGTAGTACAACTATTTCAAAACAAACAAAACTAACCTTAAACACAGTACAGAGAGTGAAATAAGTCAGCCAAAAATGGATAAATCATAATGTTTGTGAATAATCATATGCAACACAATGTAAATGAAGGAATGTGTAAAACACTATGTATATGAAGGGAACACAATACTTAAGAATTTTGCATACAAACAAATATAAAACAAGACAATAGAAAGATATCTTATGGCTCATTTACATAAAATACCAAAATAGGCAAGTTTATCTAAATCAAAGTTTATTTGTGGTTACCAGGTGTGGCCCAGAAGGAGGGGCAAAAGAAGACATTACTCCGGGGACTCAGTTTCTGTGAAGGGTGCCAGAAAAATCTTTTAAACAGTTAATGGTTGAACGATATAATGAGCAAAGTGTCATTCATCTGTACATGTGAAGATTGTTGAAATGGCCAATGTTTTGTTAGCTATAGACTTACCACAGACACTGTGAGAAGTAGGCACCCCTTTTTAAATATAGAGACTGTTTGAGACAGAATTAGGTAAACCTAGCAGAAAGAGCTGCAACTCATTTTAGCCAACACGGGGCAAGGGATCAAATGAGGTGTCTGAAGGTCCAGAATGGCCCTTTATAAATGTCTCATCTCACTTGGAGAAAGAGATTTTGGCCTTTATAACTTTGTATCTTTGGAATTTACTTTTTCCCCAATAAAGCTATGCTTATCTTTCCTTTCATTTTTGTTTCTTCATCTTACCTCTTAACTGAGAACAAAGGCTTGGCCTGTGCTGGGATTATTTCTGAACATGACTAAATCAGGGTGTTCTTATTTTTCTTTTGTCTTCTACCCGGCACATTTCTTTGACTGGGGGAGGAGGACCAAATCCAGGTGCTCTCTCTGCACATAACAGAGAACTTAAAGGGGCATCGGGCATCGTAGTAAACAATGGAATGGGTGGGCAGTGGGAAGGAGTAGGACTCTGTGTGTTACCTGCCCAACCTCCTGGCGTTTTGCTCCAGACTGCTGTTTCAAGATGCCTTTTACTTTTCTTCCTTCTGGTTTGCTTACTTTAGTAAATGCCACCTCGTGCTTGACTTTATGTTTCTGGAAAGACAAAGGCAGAGAACCATGCAGTCACCGTGGAGGGCTCAGAACACCCTCTGCCCAAAGAGAAAGGTTGATATCCAGGCACCAGTCAAGAAGAAGGCACCGCTCAATAAGCACCTTCCCTTCCAAACCTGCTCCCGTCACATGCTGATGCTCATGTCCCCTCACTGTTCCTTTGCCTTGTGCCCAAGCACAATTTTCCTCAGGGACCTTCTAAAACCTACACCTCCTCCATCCCTCTCCACCTCATAGTCCACCTGGGCCTCTCTGTTCTGCTTTTGCTCTTTGTGGTTCTGAGAGGTCTTTGTCTCCTTTTAAAGTCTGTGGCCTTGGTGTTCCTAGGTGATCTCCATATATCCTAACATCTACCTTCTTGAGTCTAGGAGGTTCGCAGCACAGAGTCCTGCTCCTGTTAAGCAGATACCTATTTTTGAAAGGCCACATTTCAATCCATGACAAATAAGATCTACTAATTAGTATTATTGGGAGGAATAAGTAAGTTAATACACATAAGCACTATGCCATCCATTAATGTTAGTAATTATAATATGAGGTGGAAGGAGGGCCTTGATATGCCATTTAAGCATCAGAGTGGAGTCAGCAAGGACACTATCATAAGTTAAATTGTGCTCTGCTGAATATATGTTGGAATCCTAAATCCTTTCCCTGTGGAATTGTCCCTAAACAACACAAATAGTGCTTGTCTACTAACCTAAGTGTTCCTTGGAGGCAAAGATGGGGAAGTGTCATCTCATGTTATTTTGGACATGTAATTGGAGAGTTAATTCCTTGGAAAGGGTCATCATGCTTGGAAATGTGGAGGGTCAGCAAGGGAAAGGAAGACCCCCCTATGAGATAGATTGACAAAGTGTCTATTGCAGTGTGCTTGACTATGTCGGGAATGAGAAAGACGGTGCAGGAGAGGACAGGGTTCATGTTATTCATAGGGTTGCTATGCATTGTACTTGACTTGATGATGCTTAACAACAACACTAAATTAAAGTCTGGGAGTTCACATCTACCCAGCAGCACATGTGCTTCCGTAAAGACAATCAAGAACACTCTACAGATCAGTTCTACTATTTAATATATGGCACTAACATGAGCTGGAATTGGCTCCATGACAACAGGTTCGGCTTGGCACACCTGTGGATATAATCTTAATTTGCAAAGAATATTTTCTTTCTTATGTTAATAAGTATCAACAATCTGCGTTATGCAGATTACACAACACTGCTTGCTGAAACTGAGGAGGACCTGAAGCGCTTGCTATAGAGGGTCAAAAACTGTAGTCTCCAATATGAATTTAGGCTCAGTGTCAAGAAGACAAAGATTCTCACCACTGGACCAATTGACAGCATCAGGATGGATGGTGAAGAGATTGAGATTGTTCACAGCTTTAGTTTGCTTGGCTCCACAGCCAACATTCTTGGCACAAGTAGCCAGGAAATTAAAAGACGTATTGTGATGGGAAAGTCTACTGTTTGGGACCTCTCCAAAGTACTGAAGAGCAATGGTGTATCTCTGGAGACTAAGGTGCATCTGGTACAGACTATGGTCTTTGCTATCACTTGTTATGCATCAGAGAATTGAACAATGACTAAGAAGGATAGAAGGAGAATTAACGCCTTTGAGCTGTGGTGCTGGAGAAGAGTATTGAGGGTACCATGGATGGCTGGGAAACCAAATAGATTCATCCTGGAGAGGGTTAAACTGGGCTGCTCCTTGGAGGCTTGGATTCTGAGGCTTCGTCTGACATACTTGGGACATGTTATAAGGAGGGACTGGCCCTTGGAGAGGGACATCATGCTTGGGAGGGTGGAAAGACAGCGCAGGAGGGGAAGACCCTCTGTGAGGTGGATTGATTCAGTGACTGGGGTATTCGGGATGGGAGTGTCAGAGGCAGTGCGACTGGCACAGGACAGAGCAGAGTTTAGGGCTGTTGTACATAGGATTGCTATGAGTTGCAAGTGACTCGATGGCACATAACAACGACAACAACATGTTAATGAGACTATATTAGTAGGATGCTCCCTAATGGACAGCACAGGCACATAGATGTTGTTGGGTGCTATAAAGATGACTTCATGTTGAGTAGAAATTCCCCACAGAGTTTTCTAGTCTGTGCTCTTTTCTTATAGAAAAATGAATAAACAAGTTCTGGGAGACATACAGTTGGAAAGCTTGTTGGAAATGAGGACTGTGATACGTTCTATAAGGAGGGACCAGTTCCTGGAGACAGATGTAATAATTGGAACAAGACCAGTAAGGGGAAAAGAGGAAGATCCTCAATAAGGGTCTGACCCTCCACCTTTCCAATACATTGGCAATATCTGCAGCAATATCAAACATGGTAAAAATTTGGAGAATGGTCCAAGTCTGTGCTGTGTTTCACCTTGTTGTATACAGCGTCACTATGAGTTGGAATCAACTCAATGGCATTTAACAACAACACAAATAATAACAACAATTATTTATAGGATTGCCACTCTTCCTCCAATGGAGACACTGAATAGGTCAAATAGTTTTAGTTTAGCACAGGGTGCCACCAGGGCTCGTGAGACACAGATACACAAACACAAATGGGGTAAGAAGATACACAATATGAACATTGAGAAAGAACCGAGGAATGCTTGAAACTACAGAAACCGAGACATGATTTTCCCCTAGAGCTAACAGACAGTTTTCACCTAGAGACAGCACTCTGAATTTGGACTTCTAAAATGTGAGAGGTCTGGTGACCTAGTAGTAAGGA